AGGGACCACACTCACAAACCCTCCTATAAATTGCAGCTCCGATTCTATACAAATTTGATATTTTATGGAACCCAGTAGTAATCTTTTGTCCACACAGTCTCACTAAAGAAACCAGAGTTTGAGTCTGCCACATTGCGGGCAGTGGTCAAGGCTGACCTGTGGTCAATGGTTGGGATTACTGCAGGTCATGGAGGAGCTGTGGTATGAAGTGCCATCAGAAACACACATACTTGCCTTGCACCAGATACCCCAAACATCACTGCAGAAGGATTGGTCAAGGCTGCGGTCAAGTCTGGAAAGAGTCAACCCGATTTCATGTGGCCTGCACATTGTAGTCTCCATATTTCAACGTTCAGGGCCAGGTTTTGGAAAACAACTGCCTACCAGGCTGAGAGTGCATGGCTGTCTAGCCCAACACCAGATCATGGAATTATCTCTAAACAGCGAGTTTGACTTGATGTTTACAAGGTCCATTATCTTGATATATAGTAAATAGTAAATATAATTAGTTCCCCTCAATAGAGAAAGGCATGACCTTGGAAGAAGGAAGGTTGTGATGTTTCAAATTTTAGAATAACATAAAAACAGTATTTTAAGTCTTTTAACTTTTTTTTTCTTTCTTTATTTATTAAAGATTTCTGTCTCTTCCCCCCAGCCGCCTCCCCTTTCCCTCCCCCTCCCCCAATCAAGTCCTTCTCCCTCGTCAGCCCAAATTGCTCTTTGGGCTGAAGAAGTCTTTTAACTTTTATACAGAAATTTTAGACTTATAGTAACAGAGAGAATCAAGTAATGAATTCCCCTTCCCATGTGTTGTCAGCCACATCAAACAAGTAGTTTTGCCTTATTTAATCTCCTAACCATATGAAATTTAAGCTTTTGAGTATATTCTAGCATAGGCATCATTTGTTTTCCTGGATAATGATAAATTGAATTATAGGCATCCTATCAGCAAAGACAGTTTTATTGTAAGTCCACGCAGTTCCAAGTGTGCCTCAAAAGCAGTGGTGGCTCATTGTGACAGGCGAAGACAATCTGAGGAGTGTCACATCACAACATTTTGGCATTGTGATGATGTTCAGATGCATAACTTCTCCAGGTATTGAATTTTTATTATCTTTTCTAAATGACCACTCTTCAACAGACTGAAACAACTGTTGTCTTTCCGTATATAAAGCCCCAAAAGCATACTGTAGAACCTCTGTGCTTTGCCCTCCTCCAGGGACTTGGTCCAATGTTTGAAGATAGATGACATATCCTGCTGTCATCTAGTGGATACTGAGGACATCTCTTCTCCCTGGAATTACATGGCCCTAAATTTCAATTGTTTCCAGATTAAGGAAGTTTGGCCTAAACTAATGTGGTGATTCAGGCTTCTCTGTGTGTTATCTTCAGAAGGATTGGTAGATGGGTCTTGTTATGGTCTCGGATAGAAAGAGTTAATCTGGTTATATGTTGTCTGCCCACTATAGGCCTCATATTTCATACTGCACATTAATACAGTGTTTTTCATATGAGATCAAAAGGTAAAATTTGCTCCATATCCTTTTAAAAATGTAATTCAGCACTTAAGTTAACAAAGTCTCACTTTCTTGTACACAATGGTTTGTCTACAAGGTTAACCAACACCAGGGCTGCTGGAAAAAAAAAGGAGGGACTGAAAGTTTTCTGGGTATATAAACATTTTATGTTTAAGAAATCTGCATCAAGTCCATGCTCTGGGAATTTTAAATCTATATTTGTGCATATGTGGGCATGCTTGAGCATTTGTGTTTCAGCACAGTAGTGGGAATGTGTTCTTGGGATGAAATTCAGGTTGTCAGACTTAATGGAAAGTCTGAGCTATCTCACTGGCCTAGATAATTGCATGGAAATATTTGTGCCACTTAAAGAAAAACTTCTCATTTATTTGATTATTTGATTTTATTTGTTTTATTTTATGTTGTAAACAGCCTTATGCAGTCCAGACTGGTCTCCAACTTTCCTTGTAGCTGAGAATGACCTTGAACCTGATCCTCTGCTTCCACCTCCCACATGCTGGAATTACAGCTGTGCACCACTGTAACCCAGGAAATTTTTAAGATGAGTTTTTAAGTTTAGAAATAAGAACTGGGGCCTAGGAGATGACTCCATCTATAAAGCACTTGATTTGCAAATGTAAGTGCCAGAGTTCTGGTTCCCTGCAGCCACATAAAAATTCAGGCAGTTTCAGTAGCTGGTTAATGCTCTTAGCAGTAGGGAGGAGGAAACCGCAAGATGACTCGCCTGAATCTGTGAGCTTTAGATCAACAGGGGTCCCCTCCTGAGTAAATAAAGTGGGAAAGAAAGAAAGAAGACACAGGCATCAATCTCTGACCACCACACATACACATATGCACCCACACCATGAAAAGATACATACATGTTCATACATAATCACAGACAAGAAAAGTAATAAGACAGGATCGTCTAGGAAAATTCATCATTTTCCTAACCTTTAAACATGGAAAGCCATTAATATAAAATACTATAATCTGGAAAATGAAATCAATTTGAAATGGAAGATAACTTTTATGTCTTAACATGCCTTTGTGGTGTGTGTGTGTGGGTGTGTGTGTGGGGGTGTGTGTGTGTGTATGTGTGTGTATATGTGTGAGAGGTGGGAGACCTCAATAGGTTTTTTTCTCAAAGGAGGAGTTCCCAACAAATTCTATCAAAAAATACTGTTTGTCCACAGCTTTCCTAAATGATATTGAGAGCTGTTAGAAAATCTTTATGAGTTAAGTTGCTGTTTCTTTGTATAGAAGGGTGTCAATGACTCACAACTGGTGTTGTGTTGTCGATAGGCAAGGTGTCAGACACAGAGCGCCATACAGCCACCTTCTGGATGAGCTATGCCAGATGTTGTTTGATTAGAGTAGACTAATTAGATGGTTGATTAATTCTGCCACTCGTGGATTAGTTTAGCTGATAAGTAGATTGCCTCCACTTAGCATTGGTTCCCAGGTCACAGTGACAAAGGTCAGGACATTTCTCAAATAGACTGGTTAATCATTCAGAAATAGTATAAATCAAGAACCTAATCATGATGTCTAGTTAAATCTAGCATATGAGTCAGAATGTGTGATTTATTTTATATATTTCTCCATGAGGACATTGAAACCAGTTGCACCCGATTGTGTGCTCATATTTAAGATCCCTGCATCAGACAACGGAAGAAGTGCAGTGAGAATGTGAGACAACGCGGTGGATGAGTTTCTTATCTCAGAGTGGCAGGATGGTCACAAACATGACAGTATTTCTGTTGTTCCAACAAATGTCTGAGATAATCAGCTTATAAGGGGAGAAGGTTAATTTTGGCTCTCAGTGTTAGAGCTTTAGTCGCTTGACCTTGCTGCTTTTGAACCTGTCACATGGAGCACATAATGAAGGCAGCTGCTCACCTTATGGAAGCTAGGAAACAGAAAGAAAGGAAGAAGAAAGCAGAGCCCTACAATTCATTCAGGGAATACCCCCAGTCATCTAATTCCGTTCCACCTCCTACCTCTGCTCCTAAGTGGTGCCACCAATGGGACTCTTATGAGGACTAACCCAAATCGTAGCAAGTGGTATGAGAACATGCTTTTATATTCTAGCCACATGGGTCTATAAGTTGTTTCATTTATATCCTTGGGAAGGCAGGAGGTCATGCAGCCTCAAGTCTATTAACTTGACAGAAGTCAAAGCATCTTATGCCTTCCTAAGCTTTCACTATCACATGGTTCCTTGTTGACAGTCTCTGTGTAACTATCTTAACCACTGTGGTCCTCAGTGAACCTAAGGGGAAGAGATTAGAGAGTAAAATTATAATTCCCTTGTGCTCTTGGTTGTATTCATGAATTCTTGTTTCACTGGAAGGGGAATTCCCGTATGTTAGGGAATGTTCCTGGAACAATGAAGAGTACTCAGTTCTCAGAGGAAGGGGTGGGAACAGGAACACATATCTCCTGGCATCACACACTGTGCCCATAGCATCCAGTTTGGGCTCTTGTCTACCTGCGCTGGACTAGTGAGGATTGATGTGTTTGCAATGAAGCAGGTTAGGAGTAATGAGAAGTTAGTAAGAAGTGGATGCAGGTTCTTTTTTCAGAAAGAATGCATGTGTCTCACCATTTATTTACCTGGTTCTCTATAAGTACCTGTCGTTTAGGAGACTTGCTGGATCAGGAAATCTCCAGTATGTTCTCTTCCTGCTCTTTCTGCTGTTCTATAGATTCGAATCCTTTAGGTGAATAGGAAAGGTGGACACTTTTCTCCATTTTGAGAAGCATACAGAAGAGCCTATAACAGAAAAACAAGAAAAGTCTCACTTAGAAATATTCTTAGTTTTAGCCGGGCAGTGGTGGCGCACGCCTTTAATCCCAGCACCCGGGAGGCAGAGGCAGGTGGATCTCTGGGAGTTCGAGACCAGTCTGGTCTACAAGAGCTAGTTCCAGGACAGGCTCCAAAACCACAGAGAAACACTGCAAGAAATATTCTTAGTTTTAATAAAAAGAACTCTATACCAGGAAGAAAAATATTTTGTAATCAAGATTAAAATACACCAATCAAAGGTACTTTCTAGCTTTTTAAATTAATCTTCCAACTTACATAGAAATTTTGATTCTGACATATTCAATCCAGAAATTATAGTAGTTGCATCATTTAGCTGAGGGATCCTCGGCTTTCTTAGGTGTCAATACCCAAAAAGCCATAGGAAAATGTTATGGTGCCTCTAAGCTAAAATAAATAATTAAAAATTGAATCACAGTGCCCAAGGTATTAGTGGGACAGACACTGTCCTGCCTTTGTTGCTCACTTTCAACTAAATTACAATGTCCAGGAATGATTATTAGTGTTTCTCACGTGGTCTGAAGCAGCTCAGCTCTTCCCTGCACATCTCAAGCACGGCGTCTTCCATCTTAAGACTCGCCTTTCTGTGGAGGTTCAGCAGCCGATCCACTCATCCACTGACATTCTTGGTGCTCTCTTTTCTGTGCCTGCAGGAGAAGCCATACCAGTGCTCAGAGTGCAGCAAGGCCTTCAGCCAGAAGCGGGGCCTGGATGAGCATAAGAGGACACACACAGGAGAAAAGCCTTTTCAGTGTGACGTAAGTTGGGATTCTTTTCTCTCCCCTGATACTCTGCAGTACCAGGAGGACAGTCCGTACCTCAGCATGTGTTGGTTTTGTGAGTTGATCGGTGCCTTCTGCTGCTTTTAACTCTGGGCTTCACATTCAGTACAATCATATTTTATTCATTATGGTTTACTAGCAGCAAACAAACTGGGATTTTCATCAGGATATCTTCCAGTGTTTCATTCCAAGGAGCTGTTGTTCTTCCAGGATGTAAATATGGGATCGTTGGAGGAAACTCAGGCATCTGCCCCAATCTTTGATGAGTTAGCGACAGTTGAACCAATAGCGAGTAGGATGAAAATATATTCTATGTGTCTGTAATTGTCCTTCAAAATCAGAATGTAAAAAATATATTTAGCTACTCAGATGTTAAATACAAGCTGAATTTTCAGAATATGTCTATAAATTTATTTCTGTTAAATAATGCTACTTAAGACATTTTCTATTTTGGATCATTGAATTGAACTGAAATAATTTGACATAACTGTTTCACATTAATTTTGAAAGGAGAGAGTGCTACTGTTCTTAGTAAATTTAATAAGAACAGTGATGGGGGAAATGATTATTTTCTACCAATGTTTATGTCATCTGATCAACCCAAGTGTTAGAGAAGGCTTGTTCTTGACAAATAAATATAAAAAAAAAGAGCATCAGTGGAAGTTGGTATGAGAAGAAACACTGAAGTAGTAATGTGTGAAGCAGCTCTGTACAAATTCACTGTAAATGCTGAATTTACCCAAGAGTGTCATCCCACTGGCATGTCGCAGCGGGGACCATATGGTGCAAGGAGTACCTGTGAACGGGAACTGACAAACGCAAGACCTTTTCCCCATCCTGTGAGAGCTCGCTGGAGGCTAAAGCAGCAATGCACGCTTACTCATAAAATACCTTCCTCTCCAGGACACTTCAGGAAAACCCAACTGTAGCAAGAGAAATGCACGCAGATAGAACATGGTCCTGAACTGGAGCTAGCTCAGTAACTTCAGTTAGTTAATTCTTTTACAGAGACAAAGCCTATGTAAGTGCCTTGGTCGTACAACTACACAGATAACCATTTCAGGCCTGAAACAGTCTGCTAGTGCTGTTGAATTAGGAGCGGCAGGGCTGCGTCCCCGGCACCCGGCCACCCGCATGGCTAGGTTATGCCCCGAAATAATTACATGGAAACTGTATCTTTTTAAACACTGCCTGGCCCGGCTAGTTCCAGTTTCTTATTGGCTAGCTCTTACATATTGTTCTAACCCATTTCTAATATTCTGTGTAGCCCACGAGGTGGCTTACCAGGGAGGATCTTAACCTGCGTCTGTCTGGAGTGGGAGAACCATGGCGACTCCTCGACTAAGCTTCTTTCTCCCAGAATTCTGTTCTGTGTACTCCACCCACCTAAGGGTTGGCCTATCAAGGGGCCTAAGCAGTTTCTTTATTAGTAAGAAATCACTCCCATATCACTAGTGCCATATCGACACTTCCTCTAAATTTTCATTCCTATCAGCAGCTGGAGCCTTCACCCTTTCTCATCACTTCAGATGTCCAGTGTGTTCCCCTGGGCACCTTTGACATGAAATTTTGAAATCTTTTTAAAAATTTATAAGATTTCTTAACAGACTTTATGTGTCTGCATGCCTGTGCAGGCACATGTGCCCCATGGTGTGGGTGTAGAGGTCAGAGGGAAACCTGTGGGACTCCATTCCCTCCTTCTGCCAAGTGGGTCCTGTGTTGACAGAGTGTTGTTCATTCCTGGCCGCCCAGACCCAAAATAATCACATAGAAATGATAGTAATCCCACCCACTGAGACAGTGGGACTGATCTATTGGGAGCTCACCAAGGCCAGCTGGACTGTGACTGAAAAAGCATGGGATAAAACCGGACTCTCTGATCATGGCGAACAATGAGGGCTGATGAGAAGCCAAGGACAATGGCACGGGGTTTTGATCCTACTTCATGTTCCGGCTTGGTGGGAGCCTAGCCAGATTGGATGTTCA